ACATAATATGTTTGATGGTTCTGGTTTTCCTCCCAGTCTAGTGTTGCTTCCATTGCTGCCGATCCGAATGTATGGAAAGCTGTACTGAACAATTCAGATGTTAGGGATTACATCAAGTCTAAGCAGACCAGTGAGAAGTTTTGCTCCTTTGTTTTATTGTTGCTTCCCTTATTTGATGCATCTTTTTACTAATTTTGATACATAATGTGTTGCAGATGACAAGTTTGAATATCAGGCATCTCCCCGGAGTTCCATATCTTCGGAGGATTATAAAGACAGCGATGGTGGAGATCCGTTTTCGGATTTTATCCAGAAAATCAAGACTAGCGTGGTTGAGATGGTGAGTAAAGTGACAAATTTATTCCATGGCCTCTTCAGCTTTCCTACGGCGGAAAAGGCGGAAGAAAATTTCGGATCGAACAATATCGATGAGACAATTGGAGCCACCTTGATGGCATTGGCAGTTCTTGTTATTATGGTAGTTCTTGTGAAACGAGGGTAGGTTATTCATAGCACTCTTTGAAGTAAATTTGCTGATGTTACAAACTCAAACTTCTGCTGGTTTTTATACCCTTATGGATGAATGATGATGATGAACATTACATGATTTTCATTAAGTTGGGAGGATCACTCCCATAATATATATGTATTATACTTAATTTAGATTAATCAATTAATAGATCGAATTACATATAAATAATTATATAAAAAATCAGTAGCTTTTATTAATAAAAAAGGAACAAGGACTTATTTGGTTAAGAAAAAGGTATGAAGGCATACTTAAAAAAATGTAATACTGTGAGGGTTTTTTTCTTCATTTGGTATATTAGTCTAATTTCAATAGGTCAAATTCGTTTATTTTTATGTATAAATTGAAGATTCAATCCATATACTCCGATTTAATCGAGTTCACTTTTTATATTTTAATCATGACTCATATTATACATAGGCACTACAAAATCAACTACTTACCAGGATTTTAAAAAACGGTCCGGGACAGCGATTTCGTCCGCGATATAGCCGCAAACACGTAAACCCGAAATAACCGAAAACTCGACCGCAACCGCAATTTGAAACCCTGCTACTTACACACAATGTAAAGACAAATAACAAATTTGATTTGACAAAATTTACAGTTATTATATGGATCATGACTATTAGTTGGTCTAACATGATGAAACATTAAGTTTTGTAAGTAAAATTTATGAGTTTGAATCTTAATATCGTAAGTGGAAAAATTAGATTAAGAGAGTCATTCTTATAATGAGTCTCTACAAGATTCAACATAGATCAACTGGTCAATAAATCAGAAAGCATGGTGTCAGAAAGCACGGTGATAGAACCCCTGGTCGAGAGCAATCGCCTCCAAGAACCAACCTATTTGTCTCCGGTACGCGTCTTTTCTTTTCCATCTATATCCATCGTACTTTTCATGTATGCGCACGTTATTTTATGGGTTGTTTTGGTATTGTTTATGTGTTTAGCTTTTGGGTGGTTGCCTGGGAAACTGCAGGAAAATGGAAGGAAGAAAGTATTTCTTTTAATTGGTTTTTTTAATGGGAAAGTTAAAGAAAATCTTGATATATTAAGTGGTCATGAAATGAAACCATGAAAGTATTGATATTGTCTATCCCTTTAATTCATTCAAAGAAGTAATTCATCAATCTTGAATAGATTAAGTATTAATAATTTAGGTTTGATATCACTCCTCTCCCTGTTTTGGGTTTTGTAATTTGATTTCTGCAAACATATTCGTTTGCATGTGTTGACCAGTTCATATTATGATGTAAGCTAATATGAATTTGTTTTTTCAGGGCTTAACAAACGCACTCCTCGGAGAAACTTCGAGAAGCCTTTTCATTTCCCAGTGTTTTGATATTCTTTGATCGTTCTTTTTTCCTAGTATTGCTTGGGCTTTGTTTCTTTAAGCTTACAGTTGGAAGTTGAAAAGATGAAGCAAAAAGAAAAAATAATGGTCCGGACTGGTATGTTTTCTGAGTAACTAGGAAACCAGTTCATAGGTGGAGGTAGGTACCGGGGTCTAGTAGGGCGAGTTGGTTTCAGAAATCATACCATTCTTGGTCATTCTGTTTTTTTTTCTTTAGCTTTTTACCTTCCAATTGTAAGCTTAAAGAAACAAACTCCAAGCAATGCAAGAAACACAGAACAATCAAAGAGTTGGCCTTCGGTTTTATGAGGATTCATATGGAGAAGATGAAGCTGAGGAGAGGGGAGTTTCCCAGTATCTTTTCTTGTATGCATTGTTTAGCTTTATGCTTCAATTAGTTTAAAATCAGTTAAGTTTCTGAGAGTAGTTGGTCAGCTATGAGTTGGTTAGGTTATTATTGTATAAAGAGTGGAAGTCTGTAAAAGAATGAATCTTGGTAGTTGGGAGATGGTGGATGACCGGGTATTTGCTGCTGGTGTTGAACAAGAGGAGGCTTCGGAAGTATTAACTGCTGCCTCCGGTAGGGCCGAATCGATTGCTCGGGTGTTGTTAGGTGGCATTCCAAGCCTGGAGGAGACTCAAGAAGCCACTGCCTATCTGAAAGATGCACTGGACAAGTAAAGTTGATCCCTTTCAGATTTTGTTTTTCAAAATCGTTTTAGAAGTTTGATTCTTTATGAATTCTTTAAAGGTCTTTTAATGAATTTTCAGTAGTTCTTATGGATATGAACAGTTGATTGCCTTCTTCATTTTAGGGTTTAGGTACTTATGATTGTATGTATGTGAACATCATGTAACATAATCTTTTGATTATGATTCCATTTGTATTTCAGGGTTTACGGTGGCAGCACTGCAGTTGAGGTTGTGGTCATGTCTTCTATACTTCAGAGTTCATATATGGTATTTGTTAACGATTGGACTAGCTTATGTATAAGTTATAATGTTTTAAAGTATAATGCCTGAATTTCAATTTTATCTTAAGTTTTGGGACCTACTCCATATAAAGTAGTACTTATAAGGCTAATATAAAAAAGTAGTCCCTACACAATTACACTTCATTCAAGTAATCCCTTATTCTCTTTTCAACCAAATAATCTCCATGTTTTTATATTCAAGATAGCTCTAAATTTTAACTAAATTTTTTAAAAAACTTTATTACATTTATTTATATTTCATGACAAATTATTAGTGTGGTAGAATGACATAGTCAATGGTAAATTTCAATCTTAGTTCCTCTAAAATTTGATGTTATAAATTGAAGCAATGCTAAACTGTATTTTGACCCCTCAAAATGATAATTTTCCAGTTTAATTCCTTTAAAGTTTTTATAATTATAAACTCAGTGGTACTAAAAATGACCAAATTAGAATACAAAGATTTAGTCTACAACTTTTTCATAGTATAGGGACTAACGAAAGCATTTTTAGCGAGGTGTATTACATCATATTCCTCTCCATTATGAGTAAGTTTACAAGTAGATAATCATATTTCAAGAAATAATAATTATTTTATAATCATATTTCAAGAAGTAATAATTATTTTATTTATCGATTGTAACAATTAGATTACTTTGATAGTAAATGTGTAGCATACATTAATTTTTTAGTTACATTTGAGTGATTGGATTATTACAGAGGATAAATAAAGTGATTATTTCCATTGGTATTTGATGATAAAATGACATGATTGTAATATTCGATAAATAAAATGACTTGATCGTGATTTTATAAATTTATGGGTAGACTACGTGTTTAGTACTTAAACTATCAGTTTTGGTCCGTTTTAATATTTAAACTTTCATTTTTCTCAAAATCATACTTAACGGACAGGTTCGCCAACCGTCGCGTCTATAGTCATCTGTCGCCGCATCTGTTGGCCGGTGAAGTACAAACTTTTTTTCCGCATCTTTTTGACCCTCTAGATGTGATTTTGGCATCTGTTTCATTGAGGAACACCTCAATTTCCCCAAATTGACGATGGACTCTTTGATTTCTTCAGCCTCCGATCTCTATGGTCCACCATCCGATGGGCCTAAAACTAGACTATATTGGTCGACTTGTCATTCTCTTGTGGTTCATCGTTCGAATTGGTCGTTCGTCCACCAAAAACTATGCCAAGTTAGCCCGTCCATTAAATTTTTAACTGTGGGGTACTAAAATAAAACAAATACTAAACATTATGTATGATTTTAAAAAAAATGAAAGTTTAGGTACTAAAACACACAAAAACCGATAGTTTATATATTAAACGATGTAATTTACCCTAAATTTATTCCTAATACAATGACAAATGGTATAATATACCCTTTCTAATATCATTGTATGTATGCCCAAATTTGTAACTTCATCAATCCCTTCGCTTTTTTAAGTCGATCGTAAATTTGCCCTTTTTTTAGGGTAAAGTACAAAAATGATCTCTCAACTATAAGATGTTATTTGTTGAGTCATCTAACTATTAAAGTTACAAAATGATCTCTCAACTATATGATGCTATTTTGTTGAGTCATCGACTATTAAAAGTTATAAAATGGTCACCTAATTATTCATATGTTTCAAATTTGTCATTTTTCGTTAAAATATGACAATAATTTGAGTCGGGCGTTAACCAGTTGATTGATATATGATAAAATCATATTTTAATGATGTCTACTGACACATTCGTTGCTTTTAAACACTGGCTCGATGATATAATGTTTCAAAAATTGGCTTGACAACTTAATGTAAACAAAGAGTCGATCCATAAAAAAAAAGCTCAAATGATTTTGGGATCAGATCTTATCATGTCACAATCAATATGTTAACCTCCAGCTTAGACGATCATCAGTTTTTCAAAGAAAATGATGAGTTTAGAACATATAAATAGACGTGTGACCATTTTGTAACTTTCAATAGTCGAATGACTCAACAAAACAATATCTTATAGTTGTGAGATCATTTTATAACATTTAATAATCGATTAACTTAATAAAGCAGCGTCCTATAATTGAGGGTCCTTTGTGTAATTTACCCTTTTTTTAACACCGTAAAAGAGGTTTTAAAATCGTGCGTTTCTCCCATCCCCCACTAATATCTCCACGATGGCTTTGAGGGCGGCGGCGACGAGAGCGCTGGTGGCTGGGTCAGCTCCTCCGGGATTGAGGCGAATATTCTCGACAGCTTCGGCTAATTCCTTTGTTCCGCCACCAATTGCCGCGATGGGGAACGGTGACGGAACCCCTGGTCGAGAGCAATCGCCTCCAAGCACCAACCTCTTTTTCTCCGGTAGCGTTTCTTCTTTTCCATCTATATCTATCGTACTTTTCATGTTTGGTCATGTTATTTTATTGTTTTGGTATTGCTTATGTGTTTAGTTTTTGGGTGGTTGCTGGGAAACTTCAGGAAAATGGAACAAAATAATGTTTCTTTTATTGGGTTTGACTTGCCGGTCCTGTTCCTTTCTTGGTTGTTAATAGAATTGTTTATTTATCAATTTATTAGGTTATTATGCTGGTTTAATTGCTGGAAAATGCGGGAAAGTTGAAGAAAATTTTGATATTTGCTATGGTTTGATTAAGTGGTCATGAAATGAAACCATTAAAGTATTGATATTGTCTATCCCTTTAATTCATTCAAAGAAGTAATTCGTCAATCTTGAATAGATTAAGCATTAATAATTTAGGTTTGATATCACTCGTCTCCCTGTTTTGGTTTTGTAATTTGATTTCTGCAAACACATTCGTTTGCATGTGCTGACCAGTTCATATTATGAGGTAAGCTAACATGAATTTGTTTTTTCAGGGCTTAACAAACGCACTCCTACGGAGAAACTTCGAGAAGCCTTTTCTCAGTTCGGCCGAGTAGTTGATGGTTTGTCTCCCTCACCTCAAAGAATTTTGGAAGTCTTCTTTATGAGATTAATAACCATTGGTCTTTTTTCTTTCTCTGCATCCAGAGTGGTGACCGATCGAGTATCGGGTTATTCCAAAGGGTTTGGTTTTGTAAGGTATGCCACCATAGAGGAAGCTGAGAAAGGCAGAGTGGGAATGGATGGCAAGGTTAGCTCCATCTACTTCCTTGAAATGCTTATTTCGTTAAGTTTAGGTGTTCATTCGTTCATCATCCATTTCCGGACCTCTTTGTTTCGGATTGAAAAGTGTTTTAAGGTTATAATTTCAATCGAAAGGGTAATGATTGCCCCTGAAGAGAGCTGATAATTTTTATGGAGTTGTACCCTTGAAAGGTTTTTCAGATATAAATATGTTAAATACTTTTACAGAACTGTACCGGGTTAGATCACTGATGATTGAATCATGATCTGTTACTATTTCTTTCAGTTTTATGATAAGATGATGTATTTCGGAATGTAATTCGTCTGCATATTGTCTCTTCCCCTGATTGTGTTAACAAATTTCCTTTGGATCATTTGCAGTTCCTCGACGGTTGGGTTATATTCGCAGAGTATGCTAGACCTCGGCCGGAACGAGCACCACCTCAGAATATGTCTAATTCAAATGGCTATAATTCCTATGGCTGTGAATGAGTTCGATCCCGAATTTCTTATGATTTGTTGTTGTTGTAATATTATCTTACACGTTATCCAAAATGTTATATTATTTTGTTTAGTTTGTTAAGTATGAATGTAAAATTACTTTATATGTTATTGGGAATGTTATTTTTTTTTAATAAAAACGTAAAATTATAGTGTTTGTTTAAGAGAGCATAAAATTATTTGAAAGTAAAATTTATGATAAAGCACAACATTGATACTCTTGTGTATATATTTTAAAAAAATTGTAATGTCAAAATTTGATATCAATATTTAATCATGGGTACTTTATTTAAGTAAGAGCATCAATATTTTAAAATAAAATTTAAATATTTTAAAAATATATAAAAAAAATATATTGATATTAAATTTAACAAATTTTCAAAAAATAATATGTATGTATTTATTTCCTTTGGTATTGTCGTATAAGTCCTTTACCAAAAAACTGAAGTTGAAGAAATTCGGATCATTGCTGGACATTCAGGGAAAAGTCCTATCTAAAGTTGAGAGAAGAAGAAGAGACCGAACGCTGAAGAAATTCAATTTGAATAAATCAGATCTCTTATTATCTGAATTATCAGGTACATCTATTTCAGATTATGTCTTAAAGCAAAGGTGGGCTGAAGCTTTTGTTGAAGCGCATGAGACGGTGTCTAGATAGGCAACTTGGATTAATGGTTGTTAGTCTTGAAATGGTGGCTTTTAAGAAGCTATTGTCGATAGCAATGCATTGACGTTTTTTAGAGTATTGTTGGGGTTTTTAGGTGATTGCTTTCGGTTTTTGAGAACAACTTAGTTTTTGTTTTTTTGTTCGAGTGGATAAGGGGGTCTGGATCGATTGTTGTTCGTTCTAGAGCTGTTGGAATTGCAGATTGGAGTTTTGATCGATCTACTCGTGGCCTGTGTAGCTCCCTTGTTTTTCACGTTTTTTGTTCGAAGTTCGAGATCGTTATATTATTAAGCTGTTATTGTTGAGTTGTGCTTTGGTGCCTTTACGTAGGAGGTTATGTGGTAAGATGTATTGCTGCTCTTCATTATGTGTTCTTCTCTGTTGGTTACCAACTCTGTTTGTAGCTATTTTAACAACAACAGGTTAGATGCGTCTTTGTAGTCTCTTGTAGCTCAGGCAGTGTTGCTTTCTCAGGAGCTAGTCTTAGGCTTTCTGCTCTTTCCACCTCATGGTTCACTATTTTTCCTCTAAATAGGTATAGGGAGATTTAGGAGAGTTGGGTTCATTTTCATGCTTTACTATTTTAGGAGCAAAAGTCATTTGCATTTTAGTCATTTCAAGCCAGAAATTGAAGAAAGATATTAGTGTTGCAAGTAACTTGAGCCGGAGGTTGAACCCTTCAATAATGGGTGAGAGGTGGAGACTGGAGTGAGTCAGAACATACACCAATCACACTACTGACTTCTCCACAACTTTTTTGTATTTTCGTAGTATTTAAAGTATTAGTCATTGATATTTTATTTTAAAAAAGACCTTTAATATAAGATATAATAATCATTTTATCCCTTATTTTTCGAGATATTTTAGTCTTCAATATTTTATTTTAGGTTAAAAAATGTTCTTACTTTAGAGCATTAATTATATATCAACTAATAATGACCAAAATGATAATTTTGATAAATATTAAGAGCCATTTTTAATATTACTCCTTTTGATAATGTACCAAGGCAGCATTTGAACACGTTTAAAAAGGAGGAGGAAGTGACAAAGGCAGCCAGTTATTTTCTCAGAGAGAAAAGGAAATGGTGGGATCAAGTTGAGTGGCTATAATTAAAGGGCCCAAAAATATCAACATTGTTGTTGTAAAATGTGGGCATGGGTGGACTGAGAAGATATTAGGAGATATGTTCGTACCTTTGAAATTTTTTAATTATTTATATAATTTAAATATTTTATTTATATTTTTACTGATAATTTAATTTTATATATTCTAAAATTTTAATATAATTTCTTAACAATAACAACAAAATCCTATTTTTAATTGTATATATCCTAAAATTTTATTTGTAGTCATTTCATATAAAAATTTTATATTATTACTATATATTAATCTTAAAAAATACTTCTAAATTCGTAATTCTCGGACGTGGACGGTGAGAGAGTGACTGACCCTTCCAGTGAAGGTCCACACCAATCACACTACTCCAATTGTGACTTCATCCACAACTTTGTTTGTGATTTTCATAAGGTATAATGTCAAAATTAACTCTCAATATTTATTAAAATAATTATTTTACCTTTTATTTTATTTTTAGAGCATTTTAGTCATTGACGTTTTATTTTAGAGCAAAAAGATTTCTAATATAAGATAGAATAATCATTTTGTCTCTTATTTTTCGAGACATTTAGCCCCCAATGTTTTATTTTATGTTAAAAAATGTTTTTTAGAGTGTTAGTCGTATGTCAACTAATATTGGCCAAAATGATAAATTTCTTAAATATTAGGGGCTATTTTTAACATTATGCCTTTTGATAATGTACGAAGGCAGCATTTTAGCACGTTTAAAAAGGAGGAGGAAGTGACAAAAGGCAACCAGTTATTTTCTCAGAGAGAAAAGGAAATAGTGGGATCAAGTTGAGTGGCTAGAATTAAAGGGCCAAAAATATCAACATTGTTGTTGTAAAATGTGGGCATGGGTGGACTGAGAAGATATTAGGAGATATGTTCGTACATTTGAATTTTTTTTTATTTATATAATTTAAATATTTTATTTATATTTTTTACTGATAATTTAATTTTATATCTTCTAAAATTTTAATATAATTTCTTAACAACAACAACAAAACCTTATTCTCATATGTAAGGGAATAATGAGAGCAACGTCAAGTTGAGAGTGATGAATTGAAAGTGATGAACAATATATGTTATTGGGTAAATTATATAAATTGTCACTAATGTTTGAGTATGTTTTCGTTTTCCTCATTGAAATTTTAAAAATAATAAATTTGTTATTAACATTATCGATTTATAACAAGTTGATCGCTCGACCGTTAACAGCCGTTACTAGAGTAATAGAATACTGATGTGGCACGTTATTCTGACTTTTTTTTATAATATTTGGCTGCGTGAGATCATTTTGGATGCAAAAGATATGTAATGTAAACATGAGTTCGAGAATGCTAGAAAATTACAATGTAATACTATTAATAATAAAATGATATTAAAAGAGTAGAACACGCTGTTCATGGGAAGATTTCCCTAAAAAAAAGTTCAAAATTTTTCAGTTGGCAGTCAAGATTTTAATTACATATGCAATTCCAATCCTATGCAGAGCACATGCATAACGTAGTTCAAAAATTTAAGTGAAAAAAGATGAAGAAAGTTTAAGAATTTGAGAAGGGTGGGATTGGAGAAAAAGAAAACGGTGAGTTGAAGAAGAATAATAAGGAGAGAAGGGGGTGATGACCAATCAAAATGATCTTACATGGTCAAATATTACCAAAAAAAAATCATAATTATGTGTCACATCAATATTCTATTATTCCAGTAACAACAGTTAACGATCGAGTGACCAATTTGTTATAAATCGATAATATTAGTGATCGATTTTTTCTAAATCAATAATATTAGTGATCGATTTTTTCTAAATCAATAACATTCGTAATTCCCCAACGGCAGGTTGAGAGTGATGAATTGAAAGTGATGAACAATATATGTTATGGGGTAAATTATATAAATTGTCACTAATATTTGAGTATGCTTTCATTTTCCTCATTGAATTCTCAAAAATAATAAATTTATTACTAACATTATCGATTTATAACAAGTTGATCGATCGACCGTTAACAGCCGTTACTGGAGTAATAGAATGCTGACGTGGCACGTTATTCTGACTTTTTTTGATAATATTTGGCTAGTAAGATCATTTTGACCGGTCCTCACCCCTTCTTCTTCAACTCACCATTTTTCTTATTTCTCTCTAATCCCATCCTTCTCAAATTCTTAAACTTTCTTCATTTTCTCATATTATCATTCTATTATCATTCTCATATTATCATCCAAGGTTCTTATGATTCCAACTAGAGTGGCCTAAACTCAAACTTCAACCATACAAGTGTTGCGGAAGACGGCTATCGAATAGAGCAAAATCACAACTGATAATTTGAGAAAATAAAAATGAAAATAAAAGAGACACAAAATTTACGTGGAAAACCCCTAAATAATATAGGGTAAAAACCATGAGCAACGATAGAAGAATTTCACTATGAGAAAATAGAAATTACAACTTCTCTCGATCTACCAAGGAGAAAACAATGATAATTCTCTCTTGATAAAAAAGAGAAAACAACTCTCAATAAACTCTCGAAATTCTCTAGTATTGGAAGAAAAACTAGAATGCTTTGGGATGATTTTGAAGCTAAATGAGCTAGGGTATTTATAGTTGAAGCTTAAGGACTAATCTTATAAATACCCTAAAGTCTAGGGACTAAAAATTTGTAATTTTCCCTTTCATTTTTCAACAAATTCTGCTGTGAAATATTGACTTTGAAAATGCACAATTCGGTGCATTTGTTCCCCCCCCCCCAATTTTCGGTGTTTTTGCACCTATTTTCAACAATCTCCCACTTGAAGATTTGATTGCAACAATCATATCTTCACACCATTCTTTCTACCTTGTACCATCATGTTACTTACGTCTCTGACAGACCACAAGAGGATCGACACCAAGTAAATTTATCAACATTGATCGCCTTCGTCATGAAATCTGTTATGTTGTCTTTGGTATGGATCTTCTGCATATACACCGTCCATTCTTCCACCTTTTCACGAATGAAATGGCACTGAACTCGTATGTGTTTTGTCCTTGAATGAAATGCTGGATTCCTTGCTAAATGCAAGGCGCTTTGACTGTCACAAAACAGAGAGACATACTCTTGATTGTGCCCAAGCTCCTCCAATAGCATCTTCAACCAAATTGCTTCTTTACTTGCTTGTTTAGCTGCAACATATTCTACCTCTGTTGTGGATGTAGCCACAACTGACTGCAATTTTGAAACCC